AGCTAACCATAGATAAATGCATTTAGCTAGTTAGATAAATGCATTTACGGTAGCTACATTTAGATAAATGCATTTATGTAACTGTGGCTAAATGCAATGCTACAGTTAGCTAAAATAATTTAGCTATTGCAGGTTTTTGCACCAACGATGGTTTGGCTTTTGCTTGGTCTTTAAGTCTTAAAATAACTTTTTTTTTACACCATGTAAACTTTATTCTTGAAACTCTTGGAAAAAAACAATAAAACAAAAAATTAATTAATTAAAAACTTCCTCAGCCTTGCTTTTTTTGTTTCTGGGTGGCCCAAACATGTCAAATCTTCCCGTTTGACACAAATATCCCGATTTTCCTGTTGAAAAGAAGCAGCTGGTTGAGCGATGAAGACTCACAACACTGAACACTTAACTGCTGGTAAAGTTCATTCTGTTTTTTTTTTTTTTTTTTTACTTTTAATCCCCAGTAAGAAACAAACACTCAGCTGGCGTGAAGTGAAAACTGTAATGGGGTTCTCAAATACTCATGCCTTTTCCATGACTGTTCCTTGAGAAAAGAACCAACCAAACAAAAGGAAACGGCACGACTCACAGTCCGTCATATAAAAGCTTTAGGCTGTATTATTTGTCCTATGCATGCGGCCGTACGCAGCCGCACTTCTGAATAGAAACCGAGACATTGGTACACTTCTACTGCTTTGTTTTTGTACAATAAAAGATAAAATGTGCATTAGGTACGCTTGTACATGACATTGTACAATATTTACATACAATTCATAATAGCGTGAAATTTCAGGATTATCTATGTACATATTGAAAATGTATCAGAAATATTTGGACTGTCTATTTTTCTTAAATATGTAAGGTAACGCTTGTAGCTTTTTTTTTTGTTTATTTTACTATCTTATACTAGAAAAAAATAGTTAATTCAATGAACTGTAGACAAATTGCAACAGTTTGATTTTTTTTTTTTGTATTTTTCTGTTTTTTATTTGTTTTGTCCTACAGTTAAAACTGTATTGGTGATTGGAGTTTCCAGCACCTTTTGTGGTCAGTCATAAAGTCGCGTTGATTTCGTGGAGCGGCGATGAACCGCTGACAGTCCTTGTGTAGCACCTGTTCGAGAGCTCAGACCACTTCAAGGCCGAACGGACCGAGCCTCCGACGGCTTTGAGGATGTTCCTGGGCCGACACATTCATTGTTATCTGGAAATCTTCCTCCTCTTGGGCTTGGGGAGCATCAGCTGACGATCCCTCGTCGGGAGCTGGAGACACACAGAAGCAGTTAACGGTGGTTCTTACGGGCTGGAAACGCAAAACGGTGAGAAAACTACAAATTTTCACCTGGAGTCACACTGAACGTGTTCACATGGGTAGAATATGGGCCAAAATGTCACAAAAAAATGCTACTTTTGCAGAGAAAAACAACTTTTCAGATGAAGGCACGGGTTTCAACCATGAATTTCGGAGCTTAGACAAGACGGAGGGTTTTTTCCCCCAGGTCGGGCTGTTAGCTTAACTTGTAGCTTAGCTTCTCAGTTTAGCTGCGTTTAACGATCCAAAAATGCGATTTTGAACGGGTAAAATGGATTTTTTGTAGAGAAAAGAGAAAAGGAGGAGTCGGTCAAGAGCACCAGAGTTGAGTCTTTTGTCATCCAGTGTCTTCAGCAGAAACAAAGACACAAAGAAACAATAAAGCCGATAATTGAAAATGAGGTGGATAATTTTCATCTATCATGCGATTAATTAATTTAATATCGTGACACGCCTACATATAGAACTTCTACTTATGTATAATCTTGTGTAAATTTGTCATTCAGTGCAATTCCAAGTGAAAAGTGCATTTCCTTACATTTTTGCGTCTCCAGCAAGTCAACAGTCGACGCTTGATGAGATACCTTTAAAAGGATTTACGAGAGCAGAAAAAAGCAAATACTCACTGCGCCCGACATCTTATCAAGCTCACTCATAGCCTCGTGAAGAGCAGCTTTTAGAGGATTATTATTCAGTTTCCCTTGCCTGTTGCACAAAAAGTTCAAAAATGTACATTAATCTGATTCAGTGACACTGAATGTGGCGTTCATCGTGACAAATTCTTACTTCAGGCCTCTTTTGGCGGCTCGGTCCAGTGCCTCCAAGTCATGCGTTAGTGTTTTTAGTTTTTCAGGCTCTACCTGCAGAAAGACCAGATAAATGTTTAGAACAAAACACTGGAAAGCGATGTACTTTGGACTCTTCGTCAGCGTGACGCCTCTACCAAATAATTTCAACATTGCAGGTATAAACTGCAGGTAGACTGAAGATAAAACGCTGTTCACTTCTGGTTTATCTTACATTTCTAACATGTTTAATGGAAAACAGTGGACTTTCTTTGATCCAGTTTGTTGCTCAATAATTTTGTTTAATGTCGTCTCACCTTGGCCTGCTCTCTCAGCTGCACAGCAGCACAGTGCACCTGATCCTCCCCAGCCAACTTGGCGGGCCATGGTGGAAAGCCCTTCAGCTGGCCCCAGACCAGCTCTCCCATATTGAAGGTTCTGGAGCGGTAGTGGAGCAGCTCTGATGAGGGGGAGTCCGGCTGCCGCAGGTCTTCCTCGCTGCTCAGGCTCTTTGTGTCCGAGGGGCTGGGGGTCGTGCCGTTGAAGTGGCCGTTGTAGTGGCTGTAGTCTTTGGGTGTGGCCAGAGGTCCCTCCAGGCTGGTGGAGGAGCTGGGAGACTGGTCGTCCCCCGTTAGCTCCTGCCGTGGGGGGCCCAGGACTTCTCCGTAACCCCGGCTGTTGAAGTGGGGGGTGACGCCGTTGATGTGGGCGCAGCGCTCCACTGTTTGCTCGAGACGCTCCTTGTAGTTGGCGGGTGTCCGGCTGCAGTTGTTAAAGCGGTAACTGTCGTCCAGAAAGGTCTTATCGTGGGCCACGGCCAGGCTGTGGTTGTTAGACCCCTCAGTGGGACACGGTGGGGCAGGGGCCAGACTAGCAGGTCTCTCCATGCAGGGACTACTTCTTACCTGGGTAGAGCACTCCAGGAACTCCTCCCCACCCCAGGCATTCTTGTTGCTCTGTGCGTCGAAACCTCCCCCGTGCTGCGTCTCCCCGTCCCACTGCCCTCTGGGCGTTCCTCGACCAGGAGACCGGAAGTAGTCGTTCGCCTCGGGGCCATCCGGAGTGCTCTTTCCTGGATCCATGGTTTTCTGGCCCCGTATGGGTCTCACCTGTCTTGGTCTGGTCTCTCCTTCTTGGTGCCCGTGCAGGACTGCGCTGACAGCTTGGGGGAGGTTGACAGGTTCCCCGAGGTTGGCAGTGAAGGCACTCATGGCACTAAGGGCGGTCATCGGACCTGCCTGTGTGGTCCCGCTCACGGTGGTGGTGATGGTAACATGCATGCCCTTACTGGCAGCATCAACCACAGCTCTGTAGATGGCATCCACCACCTCCGGCCCTCCGCCGGGGCCCCTGTCAGGTCCAGGCGGTCCAGCTGGAAGCCCTTCACTTCGAGGCTGTTGCTCCTCAAACTGCGGGTGCGACATCATCCCTTGCTGTGGGACACAAACACCGATGTGACTTATTTGTTTTAATAAACAATCTGAAGTGCTGCAGAGATTAAAAGCTAAAGAGTTGACCTGGTAGTTCTGATAGAGACAGGCCATGGAGCCTGCGGTGTTGCCATCTTTGTAGGGTGGGTTTTCAGAGAAGTGCTGCTGGCCCTGGTAGGACGGATGAGAGGACATCCCCTGCTGCATTCCCTGGTGGATCTGCTGCTGGTACATTTGACCCCCGCCGGCGTTGATGTGTGGCGGCAATGAGCCCATTCCACAGCCTGAAAAACCATCAAGACAAAAATATTTGAGCACAAACAGATCCTGACGTTGTTCCTTTGAGCTTTTAAATGGCAAAAACATAATTTTAACTAATGTTGTTTATGGTGCAGTCTTAACCAGAAATGGTGAGGAAAAACCAAGTTCTATGATGCAACAGCTTGTTGAACCACCTTCAGCAGCAAGAACTCAGTAATAGTTTTCCGTTTGACCTGATCCGTTTCTTCAGTTTATTAATGGGAACATTTTCCCCAATATACTTTAAAAAAATTACTTCAGTTCATCAAAGTTTATCAGCACTTTGATTGACCATTGCAGCTCCTTGACTCCTTTTTTAGCCGTTCTGTTGTAGATCAGCTGCTGTGTTTGGGATCATTGTCCTGTTGCTTCATGACCCAGTTTGGTCCAAGGTTCAGCTGTAGGACATCACTCTAGTATCCTTTGGTCTACACAGTACAGTATTTCATGTTACACTCGATAATTACAAGGAGCCCAAACCATCAACCCTCCACCACTGTGCTGGTTTGAGGTATTTGCGCTGATGTTCTGAGTTTGGTTAAATGATCTGCTTTGGTGTTCCACACAAACTAAACTTGTTCAGTCCTTTTCTAATTGTCTTAATGAGACTTCTAACCTACAAAGCCCTCAACAACCTAGCTCCATCTTTTATTTGAGATCTTATCATTCCATATTTTCCTAACAGAGCAATTTGCTCTCAGACTGCAGGCTTACTTGTGGTTCCTAGAGTTTCCAAAAGCAGAATGGGAGGAAGATCTTTCAGTTATCAGGCTCCTCTCTTGTGGAACCAACTTCCTGTTTCTGTCCATGAGGCTGACACATTGTCCAGTTTTAAGACTGGGCTTAAGTCTTTCCTTTTTGATAAATCCTTTAGTTAGTGTCGGCTTGTTACGACTTAGACTACTGGAGGACAAACTGACCACATTTCCTTAAATGAATTGTTCAAATTGAATAGTTTTCATTTTATATTATTTCTATCTTAACATGTGATACTTGACCTGCCATTGTGTATCTGTTCCTCCTTCCTGTTCTTTTCAAACTCAGTTTTTCCTTTCCACTGTCGCCTTCATGCTTGCTCAAGATGAGCAGTCTGCTCCTCGAATAAATAATGTTATTAACAGACTTTTTTAATATATGAATGTTTCTGTTCAGTGCCCTGAGACGACTTCTGTTGTGACTTGGCGCTGTATAAATACACTGAATTGAATTTTTAACATGTTAACTGGGGCTAGAAAAGTCTGAGATGGAGCTCCTTTCTCTGAGCATTGTACGGTCTGACTAAGGGTGGAGTTGCTGGGAAGTCCACCTCTGGGGAGATCGGCAGCTGTTCTAAACGATTTTTACTTGTTAATCTTTCATCTGACTTTAGTTTTGGCCAAATGTTATTTTTGTCACTACACTCCCCCTTATTAACTTGTAATTTGAATTTTTGCCACTTAACAGATAAAAACCTACATTTCCAATTTATTTTGGAGTTTTAGAAATAAATGAATTACTTTAATGGACTAACAGTTTTAATGTCTGGTATGAGTTATACACTTAAAGCATGTTTTTAACAAGGGTTTGTGCCTTTTCAAATCTACTTCTGGCACCAGAAAAATCAATGGCAACAATGTTAAAAAAAAATGTTTCTAAACTGAGACTTGGAGGGGGGGGGGAGAAAAAAGGAAAAGTTGCACATTAACAATCTGTTGCAGCTGACGCTAACAGATGGAAGAGCTGCTAGATGAACAGTACGGTCAAAGCATGAACGCACAGGAGATGAAGGAAATACATCAAGGCCACAGATGTATGAATGAACCAGGAGACAAAGACATGAACGTGTTTTTGTGGCTGTGAACTTGGACCGAGCAGCAACCGGAGCAGCTGGTGCAATGCTACGTCGCTGAAGGGCAGCTGTGTGTTCTCTTTTCTTTTTACTCCCCCACCCCCCACCCCATCTACGCGGAGGAGCCACCACTAAGCCAACCCCCTCCCCCTTTCCTCCCCACATCCTCCACTACTGCTATGATATAGTGACGGCTGTTGCTGGGGGACGTCGCCATGGGAACCAAGTGATGATTGGTGGTGCTGTCCGCTGCCAGGAAGCATGTTGGGGGAGATGGGTGGGTGGACGAGGGGGGTTAAGAGGGTCGGGTGGGGTGATTTAAGACTGTGGGGGGATGGAGGCGACGGTCAACTGGGATGCAGGGGGTCTGGGGGGAGTTTACAATGAACTTTTGAGTATTTGTTGATGGCAGGAGTCGGGGGGGGGGGGGTGTAGGAGGGGGGTTAGCTGTGTGTAGAAACAGATGGTTTGAGACTAATGCTAAGATGCTACCGACTCGGCCACTTTCAAAGACTTTCCACTTCTCCTGGGCTTTTTACAAGCATGGATTAAAAAATAATTATATATACATATATACACACAAATATATACACACACACACACACATATACATATACATATATATATATATATATATATATATATATATATATATATATATATATATCACAAGACACAACATCTGCTTTGAAGTAGAAAAATATTTTGATGTTTTGTACCAACAGGAAAAGACTGAGCAGAGAGAGGTTATCATTAAAACCCGTACACAGCGTGGTGCTGTTATGACCTCTTGCTATGCTATTTTGGCCCAAACAAAATAAAAATAAAAGATGCACAGGAGTTCACTTCATGGCCTCTAATGGTAAATACACATTTATATTAAAAAACAAGGATAATCTTCAATGTATGCGAGACGAATAAACTTGTGTACACTAACTAGGCCTATTGCGATAAACAATAAATCAATTAATCGCACGATAAATGAAAATTATCGACCTCATTTTCATTTATCGGCTTTATCGTTTCTTCGTGTCTCTCTCTTTCTACTGAAGACACTGGATGACAAAAAGTTAAACTCCGGTGCTCTTCACTGACCCCTCCCTTTCTCTTTAAAACCTGTTTTAACCATTCAAAATCACGTTTTTGGATGGTTAAAAAGCAGCCAAGCTAAGAAGCTAAGCTATAAGCTAAGCTAACAGGCCGACCTCGGGGAAAAACCTTCATCTTATCGAAGCTCCAAAATTCACGGTTGAAACCCGTGCCTTTGAGTAAAAAGTTGTTTGTCTCTGCAAAAACAAGCTGAGACATTGTTCACTGATTTTTTATTAAAAACTTGTGTGAAAAATGCTCAAGAGCTCAAACCACACCGAGCGTCCGCTATGTCACCATGTCAGCACATGTCACGTCAAGGAGCCTCCCACCCATTTTTCTTAAAGACACATGCTGCTCAACTATCCATTCTTCAGTTTAAACAGTCTTATACTGCCATTCGGTGGTCAAAAAAGGCACTACACTCAAAACAAATCATTTCTTCTACAATTTGACAATTACTAATTATTGTTTAATTTCAAACAATATTATTGTTTATCGCAATAATTTGCGACAATCGCCCAGCAAAATTTGTTATGACAGGCCTAGTGTCCACATGCAAAATGCTTTATGCCAGGAGTCCATTGCTATGCAAACAAAGGAGCTAAAACAACATACACAAAGACACAAATTCAAACGCAGCAACTCAAACACATTCAGTCCTTATTTAATCGCCAAAGTTGGTGTAAAAACATGTGCATGCCTGGTGTCTACAAAAATGCTTCTTTTGCAAGGGTCAATAGTGCAGTGCTGAGCTTAGACATATTCCTTTTTGTCAAATTTCCCACTCAAAAGTTTAGAAGAGGATATGAATATATAAATCAAAACAGAAATGGGGAAAGTTTGCAAGTTTTTGAAGATTTGGAAATGTACAGGACATCTGATCAATTTAAATGAAAAAAACAAACAAAAAAAATTTACAGCAGGAAATCCATTTACGTTCCCTTTTCTTATGGAAAAAATCTAAAAACAAAAACAAAAAAAGAACAGCTTAACATCCAACTTTCTGTAGTTGTTGGTTTTTGTTTGAACTGGTTCCAACCTCCAGCAATTAATGGGCGAAATGTGGGGCAGACCCTGGACAGGTCACCCGTCGATCAGAACACAGAGAGGATTGAAATAAAGACAACTCTTCAACCACACTCACAATCTGTAGTCACCAATTAACTAACTGACATATGTTTTAGTCTGCAAAAGGAGCTGGAGAAAACTCATGTGCACTGACAGAACATGTAAACTTGACGCTGAAAAGCCAGAGCTGGGAGTCAAACCCACAACCTTCTTGTTGTGAGGCGACACAGCTTGCTAGGCTGGTATGAGAATTAAGATGGTATAAAATCCTTAAACAAATAATACCAGGTTTTACAAAATTAAAACAAAAAATTAAAAATGTGACTTGATTTTATTTAAGAACAAAAATGCAATTATTTTTACTACCTAAATAATACCAAATATTGCTCAGTATTTATACAGCTACAATATTGTGTGTAGAACTAAATAAAATTACTTTTATTTAAAGTGTAAATCAAAAAGGAAAACTTTGTTTCTGGTATTTAAAAAGGCATTTAAACCACAGGAATGGAATTTTTATTGTTTCAAGACTGACTTTTTTTTATTTCAAACAAATTAAACAGATTTCAGCTTTACTCAGTTAAGCAACGGAAGTGTTTACAGTGAAAATGCCCTTTACTTAAAAGTTCAAAAGCAGTAAAATAGAAACATGCCACTCCAATATAGCAACAATTCTGTTTGATAAAAGCAGACAAAACGAGCAACAGATTGATGTTTACTCCTTATGGTTCTGCGTAGAACCCAAATGATATATCGGTGGACCAACATAGGAGTTTGGGGACACATCGTATCAGTGATAATTGGCCCATTATGCGCCAATATAAACACTTGTAATTTTCACCCCTAAAATGCTGGGAACCCGTCATGTCCTTACCTGCAAAAGGCGTAAATGTACAATGTATTCAGCAGAGGGCGCATATGGACTACTTTCAAGTCATGGCCATGCTGCACACTTGACTTACAGCACAGCCAAAGAAGTGGCAATACTATGTAGTGTATTTTGCTGAACAGAGCACGGTAAGTTTATTGTAAATGATCTGTAAAATAATAAAAAAAAAACAATAATAAATGATCTTCAATCCTCCAACCCGCTTGTCATTAGCTATCCACCTTTCAAGTTAGCAAGCTAACGACATATAACCTAGCATAGGCTATTTCCTTGTAAAACTTTGTCCAGAACAATAAAACTGACGGAGGTAAAATATATAAGTGTTAGTAACATTATCTTTGTCGTCCTCAATAAAATGCATTACTTGTCTTAAATCTTTACTTCTCTGCAAAGGAAACAAAAAATGCCATTGCGGTCAATACTACTGTAAGCAGGTCATCACTGTACGTGACTGACTGTTTAAACAATGAACAGGGATGAGTGTTTCTTTAATTTATACTTATGTAACACACTTGATAACTTTATGGTGAATAGGAGGAGGATAAAAAAATTTGCCAGTCACGATAAATTTTGCTGGGCGATTAATTTTCTCAGAAATTATTGCGATAAACGATAATATTGTTTGAAATTTGACAATAATTAGCAATTATTGTCAAATTTAAGAAGAAATGTTGGTTAATTCATTTTGAGAATAGTACCTTTTTTCGACCACCGGATGGCAGTATAAGACTGTTTGAATCGAAGGATGAACAGTGAGGGAGTGAGCAGTGTCTCTAAGAAAAATGGGAGGGAGGCCGCTTGACATGACATGGGCTGTCTCTTTTTCCTTTTTTTTCAGTTCCCAAAATGGCGGAAGCTCGGTGTGGTTTGAGCTCTTTAGCACAGCATTTTTCACAAAAAGCTTTTAATTAAAAAAATCAGTAAACAAGTTCTCAGCTTATTTTTGCAGAGAAAAACAACTTTATGCACGAACGCACGGGTTTCAACCGTGAATTTTGGAGTTTTGACAAGACAGGTTTTTCCCCCGATGTTGGCCTGTTAGCTTAGCTTCTTTTAATGATCCAAAAATGCGATTTTGGACGGTTAAAACGGATTTAAAAGATAAAAGAGAAAGGGAGGGGTCAGTGAAGAGCACCGGAGTTGAGCCTTTTGTCATCCAGTGTCTTCAGTAGAAAGAGAGAGACACGAAGAAACGATAAAGCTGATAAATGAAAATGAGGTAGCTAATTTTCATTTATCGTGCGATTAATTGATTTATTGTTTATCGTGACAGGCCTAACGATTTATCAGCCCCGATTTCCTTAATTTTGGGAAATCCAAGATCGGCCCATACTAAAATGACAAGCTGATTTTACTGATTTTTTGTAGTTTTAAACAACAATTGTCTGAACTTCATTTATATTTCAGAGCACTACCTCATGGCCAGTTAAAAAAAGTTTGTATTGTTTCCAGGATATTTTATGTTTTTCAATAAAATAATATTGGAAAATTGAAGGTGCATTGTGACCTTATAACACCCTTATAAAACAAAATCGATATCGGCCAAAATCAGAATCGGCAGGTCAGACTTTTTAGAAATCGGTGATTGGCCAGAAAACTGCAATCAATGCACCCCTAGAATGCACGTTAGGAAGTATGTTTCAAGATTTCAAACGGGTTTAAAAGTAGCTGTTTACTTGGATTATTAGGGGTAGACAAAGCTAAAAAATGTTCAGCCATTTATATTAATTTAACAAGTAAAACTGTCATTTGAAAAATTTTTTCCTTCTCACTGATTACAAACTTTGTGCTCTAGCTCACAGGCAGGAACACCTGAATTTTAAAAAAAAATGTGTGGGAGGAATACAGAACAACTTGATAAGAACAGGTGGCCTGCAGCAGACCTTGGTGATATCTCCATTATAAACCACGAGGACACACAGACGCAAAATGAATTCATAAACTGAGTTCCAGTCCAACAGCAGGCAGGGAAACACAAGATCTGGATCTTTTTTTTTTGTTTTTTTTGAAGAACAATTGTTGACACGAATACACACAAATGCACATCATTTACGTGCGTACAAACAAACTGAAGCACACACACTGTAATGCACAAGGAGTAACATACATACACAAACACACAGGCCTAAAGCATTATCAAAGGCTTCACTCTGGTCTCTATTCAGGCTCTATGGTTACTATAGCGACCAGCTTGCTGGGAGAAGCTCTTTAGAGCTCCCTATCTGGGTTGCTCCCCTTAAAGCGTGATGCAGATCCCATTTCCATCTTCTTACGCCATTGACTGATGGCAGAATACAAATAAAACAGAGAAGCACTGGCTGACTGACAATTAGCTGAGCTTTCAAAGATGAGGGGCCGGCTCATTAGCTCAGAGACACTGGAGGAGCCTGGACGTCCAGGGCTGGGGCATATCACCTAAAGCCTTTGGTTTTTCTTCACTCATAACCATAGAAACCACATCAGTGCAGCTCATCACACAAAAGGGAGGGGGATATACAGTCATTTACTAAACAGAACATCATCTCCATTCAGCAGCCAAGACTGGACTGTGGGGTTTTATTTTACAGTTTACTCCAGAGTACGACCTGAAAATTTCCACATCATAATGATCCTGATAGTAAGATCGCCAACCATCACAACAAAAAAGTATGTGCAAAATACAGTGGTGGGCACTGTAAACCAAAAACTTAGCTTTGCTAACCTATATTCCGCTAACTACCGGAGTCCCTCACTTATCGCAGTTCCAGACACCCCCGTGATAGGTGAAAATCCATGAAGTTGGAAGGTTATATGTATTTAAGTATTTATATATATATTAAGGCTTTATAAACTGTTCCTTCCTTCCTCCTTCAATCGTCTAAACTTTCTAAACGCTCTAAGAGAGCACAGCGAAAGAGAGCAGACAGACTGAAGCCATGGTTGCTGAGCCAATCAGCGCCCAGGGACGGACTGGCCATCAGGACTTGGTTCCGGTTAAGGCTCGGTTTGGGTCACGCTTGATTATTTTAAATAAACAATCCATGCTGCTCACGCTGGTATCTGCATCATTGAAGCTCCCACAGAAGCAATGGGGAAAGACAGACCCCACCCACCACCCCCTCCTTTCTCTTTCTGTGACCGCCTCAGAAAGAGAAAGGAGAGGGCCCCTTGACAATCACTGGGCAGCCAGAACATTGGAAAACAATGTGTACAATCTTACGTTGAAAACCCATGAAAGAGTGAGTCCGCGTAAGTCAAACCGCAAAGTATCAAGGGACTACTGTAAAGATTTAGCTTAGCCAACACTAAACTGCTAAACAGGTAAAAAAGAAAAAAAAAATTGCAAAAACCAACGCTAAGAAGACTGTCGTTCAGTCTGCATCACATGACCTTAAATGCTGCTTAAATGCTATCATACAAAGTAGGAGTCAAATGACAACACAATCCAAAAACGCAGTCATCTTCTCAAGACCAAAGCTCATTTTAAATGAACTGAGGCAAAGTAGAAAACTGTTCTATGGTCAGATGAACTGAAATTGGAACTTCTTTTAGTATGTTTGGTGTGTTATCCAGCTCACAAGGTTAATGTATATACAATGGCAGCCATCCTGGATTTTGACGTTGCAACCCAATTTTCTAAGGATCCTCTTACGCCCAGATATAGCCACACACCACAATGAAAGTCGGTATTTCACTTGTTTTTTTTTCTTAAGTTATTCTCACAACTAGGGCTGGGCGATATGGACCAAAATAAGTATCTCGATATTTTTTAAATATCGGGATATCGCCCAGCTCTACTCACAACATGCATGGACGGACAGAGGGTATTTCCAATTCCCTCTCTTCGCTCCTCATTGGGGGATAAAAAGAGGTATCATCTAACATTTTATCAACGCAGATCAAAAGCCTGCCTCTCTGATAGTATTGGGGTGCATTAGTGTCTCTGGCATGGGAAGCTTACACAACTGGAAAGTAGGGGTGCACCTATTGCAATTATTTTGGCCGATTACCGATCTCTAAAAACCTTGACCTGCCAATTCAGATTTTGGCCCATACCAATTTTGTTTTATAAGCAACGCTGTCAGGTGTTATAAGGTCACAATGCACCTTCAATTTTCCAACATTATTTTATTGAAAAACATACCCTTGAACAATATCCTAGAAACAATACAAACTGGTTTTAACTAGCCATGAGGTAGTGCTCTGAAATAAATGAAGTTTAGACAACCGTTGTTAAAACTACAAAATTTTTTTGTAAAAATCGGTTTCTCGTGTACAGTATGTATCGGCCGATCTCCGATTTCCCAAAATTAAAAAAATTGGGGTCAATAAATAAGCCGGCCCCTACTGGAAAGGCACCATCAACGCTGAAATATAAAGGTTTCACAACAACATGTGATCCCATCTCACATAAAATCCAGAAAAGAGCAAAGACTGTTCAACAGCTAGAATCTTCCATCAGATAAGAATGGGACAACATTCCCACCCAAAAACTCCACAACTGGTCGCCCCAGTTCCTAGAAGTTTACAGATTTTCACAAGAAGGGATGCTTCAGTGCCCTGAAACAATTTTGAATAAATCTGTCGCTACCATGAAAATCTAAATTACTTTGTTTTGCAAATAAAAAATAAATGAAAAAAGAAAAAACAAACAAGGGGAACTTTCTTTGTTTCACCATTTTGATGTCTACTATGTTCCACTCTTAACAAACCATTGGGTTTACAAGATTTGTAAACTACCACTTTCTGTATTTACATTTTACACAATTGTCACAACTTTTTTTTATTTTATTTATTTATTTTTAAATTGGATTTATGAAATTTTATAAGTTTTTCAAAAATTCTTTAAAAAAAATTCTCACCAGTGTCAGACACGGTTTGGTTGCAGCCTCCATCACCACCTGAATGCGTCATCACCATGTTGGTCCGACGGAGCTGCGATGGATGGGGGCCAGGATGGGACAGTGGTGGGGGATTAGTGTTGGGGCGTACCATTGGCATGCCATCAGGTCCTACTGGTCTACCGCCTGGTCCCATAGACCCACAGTTGTTCATCTGTATCTGAGCCATCATGTCAGGGAACGGGCCTGAGCGGGAAACCAGATAGCCCCCAGAAGGGTCCATGCTCTGGCAGGGCTGCAGGGCCTCTCCTGGACCCTGCAGTCTCTGCTGAACCAGGAGGTTCTGCTGAGGGACGGTGCCTGTGTTGTCACTGTAGTGAAGCTGTGCCGGTACTACAGGGCCAGAACCCGGGACAGGGTTAAGTCCAGGACGGTGGCCATTTCCACCTAGGTTGTGGGAACTCTGGCAGCTCATGGACTGGAGAAGCTGAGCCATAGACGTGTTTGGATGCAGGTTTCCGATACGTCCCACTTTTCTCAGCTGCTCGGTGGCACTGGGTCCTGGCATGTGGGGGACCCCCATTCCTGGTTTGTTAATCATGTTAAAGACCATGTTGTTGCTGTTGTCGTGGTTAACAGCGCTGCCAGACGACTGTTTTCGTTTGCGTGCAGGGTCCCGCTGCTGGGCCATGAGTTTGTCTCGAAGTGCTGCCCGGCCGCTCTGACCCTCAGGAGTGTTAAGTAGCATGTTGGAGTATGGGGGGAGCATGGGGCTTAAAGTGCTGTGTCCCTCCATGCCTCGAGGGCCACTTATAGAGCCTGGGTGCCCAACACTACCACCATTACCTCCACCGCCTGCCCCCATGCCTGACATTCCAACGCCGCCAGCAGCCATGCCAGCAGAGCTGCTGCCAGCAGCGCCGAGTTTGTTTTGATTTGCTAGCTGTGCTTTGGCTGCGGCTGAGAGGAGACTGCTGGCAGGGAAGGAAGCGGCATTTTGTTGGTTGAGGATCTGGTTCAGGGGCATCCCAAGGAGTCCAGGGTGGCCCTTCTGGGAAGCACTGGAAGTTGGCAGAGAGGATGAGGACGATGAGGAAGATGTGGGTGAACATAAGGGGTTGCTGTGCTGATGGGTGCTAACCGAGTTACCCATCACAGGCAGCAGCTGGGAGTCTTTGTACTGGTGGAGTGGGTCTGTTTTGTTGGTGGAGGGGCTTGAGGGCATGGCTGGCCTCGGAGACCCAATAGCAGACCTGGGAGAGCGAGGGGGGACCTTCATTGGGCCACATTGGGACTGGTGCCCAGAGGGTGTAGCAAAGTTTCCATGGTCGGAAGAGGTGGAGGATGACCGTGAGCGATGAGGTGAGGCTTCCATCCTTCCGTGTACAGGGCCAGTCATGTGAACGGGGGATGTGACAGGGGATGGGGACATGGAGGACACGGGACCTCCCTGTTGAGTCCTTTGCACATTACCACCATGCCCCACAGGCCCAGGCTTCGCTGTGGGTAAAGGTAAGTTGCTTGGCAAGGGAACAATGGCAGGAGGGGGTATGTTTACATTCATCATTGGTACCTGAGAGTGGATGTTGGGCTGGAAGTTGGAAGGGTTAGGGGCGTTGGTGTGGGGCTGGCTGACTGGTTTGCTAGGGATGGGGTCAAGGATGCCTAAGGGGTCCTTTTCAGAGGTCATTTGCCTTTTCTGAAGAGCACAGGGTGGTGGTACAGGATGCACAGGGGGCTGCAGTTTATGGTGAAATGCGACTCGAGGCAGATCCATGCCAGGGGGGAAGTTCCCCCGCGGCATGTTCATGTTCATGACAGGGCTTTTGGCAGTAGCCGTAGGAGAGAGAGGTGTGCTAGTCCTTCCTGTCATGGCACAGGATGGCTGACCTGCAGGAGAGCCGTGGAGTACAACACTGGGTGGAGACAAAGGCGTCCTAATGTTTCCATGGATGGAAACAGAGGCAGGACTACCTGGAAACCCACATGGATTGGTCCTTTGAAAAACCTCAGGGCTGCCCAAAGTTTCCACACTGGGAGACTGAGAGCCATCTCCATACAGTTTAGCACCAGAGGGAGATGGACTTAACATTCCTCCATAAACTGCCCGGTTTGGGGATTTAGTTCCAGGCTCCCCACTGCACAGCCTCTGCGTCCTGGGGTATCCGGAGTAGAGCTCATGCTGTTGCGCTCCACCCACCTCCTGCGGAGGATACAACCTCTGCTGCTGCTGTGGTCCCATCATCATCTTGAATGGATTTTTGCACTCAGGTCCAACAGCACCAGGCAGACCATCATGGGGTTTAGTCCTTATTGCTCGTTGAGTTGTAGAATGCACGGCAGCCGCAGGTGGTGTACCTAAAGTAAAACAACAAACCCATGAGTTAAATCAATAAAAACACCTTGAACAAAATATCTGACAGGGAAGAAAAGTTGAATATTAACTAGGAAACTGTTGCTGTTAGTCATAAGTTTTTTTTAAACGTGTTAAAAAAACATTTTTGTTCTAAAACAAACAAACTAAGCTACAGTATTTTCCACCGTATTTTTTTTTTTTTTTTTTTCATTTAGCCTTTATTTATCCAGGTTAGTCTCATTGAGCCACGAGAACTCATTTGCAAGAGAGACCTGTTTTTTTTTAGGGAGCACATGGTGGGGGTTAAGGGCCTTGCTCATGGGCCCAGAGTATAAGTCGCATCAGTCCATATTTGTCTAATAAAGTGGGAAAATCCATAAATATGTTGCTTCGCTGTATAAGTCACGTCTATTATGCATCACCGCTGACACATCGCGTTTGTTACGCGTTACCGCTGACAACCCGGAAATGTGGGCCGGTGTTGTGCCAAAAATAGATTGGCTGCCAAATGGCGGCCGCGAGTGCGTGCACGGGAGGACTTTAACAAGAATTTAACAAGATTAACATTTAAAAACAATTATTTGTTTGCTCGAAATTATAGTAAAGGCGTGTCTCAGTCTAACTTTTCCTTAATAAATGCACTTTGAGGGCCAAAGCAGCTGCATTTCAAAAGCCGATACACGGAAGTAGGAGCGCCCAGAGGAACGACTCGCTGTGCATTTCTTTGAAATTTAACAAGATCAACACCTAAAAACAATTGTTTGCTCGACTTTATAGTAAAGATGTGTCTCAGTTTAACTTTTACTTAATAAATGAACTTCAATGGTCAAATTAGTTGCATTTAGCCGGGGCGGCGCAGCAAAATGAAGCTGATTTGACGGTTGCTCCAGGCGAGCTGAACAAAGGTGGCAATCTATGGCAAGCCGATTGCGTCATTAATAGCCACTTTAACCTATTACATGACTCGAGTGCCATCTAGCGGCTGAAAATGGTAGTGTTCAGTATTTTCAGCCAGAATGAATGAAAACATTCATATCACAGCCAAGAACTGGTTTATAAATATGGGAAAAAAATCCATAAATATGTTGCTTTAGTGTATAAGTCTCAGGGCATGCAAATTATGCAAAAAAACATGACTTATAGGCCAAAAAATACAGTAGTTAGTTGCTACAGTTGATCAGGTTCATAAATTAAATCATACCTCCTCCTGAACTTGTTAGCGTCAAAGGCGGGTGCGTCTCCATGCTCTTGTGCAGAGTGGCTACAGCCAGAAGTTTCCTCTTGTGAATGCAGAGTTTGGTCACGTCTTCGTCTGCCTTCACGTCCTCCGTCGTTCTCTGTTTGACAACCGCCCCGGGGTCGAAGTTGAACACCTGAGGACGAAGAGCAGAGGGATTAAAACACATGAATGGGAAAATGTGATAATTAGAAGCATGTTGGTCTTCCCGAGTATTGCACATGAATGTGGGGGGAAAAAAACTGCACTTTATGAAATTGAAAACTGGAATAAGAAGTGGCAATGAATTCCAACATAAAAACTGTTTATGACCGTGACATACAGAGGACTTTTAAAGGATGCTATGGGCTGAAAATAAGGATGGTGTGGCAGCTTGATGTTGCCATGTGATCATCCTTGAGTAGTAAGTTACAGCCAGTCCAGCAGCACCCTGCATTTCTCTAACGCCAGTCTCTTTAAGTCTGCATAGCCCAAACTGTGAGATACACAAAATAAGTTGCAGATAAACAAGAGTCGGACTCCTCGGAGAACCTTGGAGCGATGTGCTGAATCCAGTGATTTACAGTAAACATCAAACTGAGGGGTTCATAAAGGAACGGACAGAAGTTTAATGAAATTTACATTTGCGTATCGAGAGCACACAAACTCAGAAAATGTGCAATTAAATAGTTTGTGCCTAAACATACAGAGGACTGGAATCAACTGAGCAACAATGAGGCTAAAACTAATAACATTTACTAAAAAAAAAAACATTTTAAGATCAGTTTGAACTAGAGAAATTGCATTTCCTGCAAAAATGCAGTATTAATACTTATTGCTAAAGAACTTGCTAAAAAAACAGCTGAAATTAGCTAAAAGCATGCTGAAATGGAAGAACAAGCCTAAATTAGCATAAAAAAAAGCAGAAAGAACACATGTTTGCTGAATTTTAAATAAGCAGAAATGAGCACAAAAATAAGGAAATTTGCTAAAAAAGCTGAAATTAGCCAAATTGGCCCGGCGATGGACTTGAAATCCCGCCCCTTGCACAGTGATTGCTGGACATGGGCACCGGTGACCCCCGTGACACAAAATGGAAAAAGTGGGTAAAAGATAATAGATGGATGGATAGCCAAAACAACAACAACAACAAAAAAGGCTGAAAAGTTGCCGAAAAGGCAGAAAGAAGCTTAAACAACCATAGTGGAAAGAGTTGAAATAAGCTTGGAAAAAAATGAAATAAGCTGAAAAAGCTAAATTTAGTTAAAAAAAATGGCTAAATAGTAGCTGAAATACATGGAAATATCAGAAATAACCTGAAAGGAGCATAACAAGATGAAATTATCATGAATAAGTTAATTAGACGGAAAGTAGCAGAAATTACAACAAAAAACTTGAATTTATGTGAAAACAGCTGAAGTTAGCTACAAAAATGCTTAAAGAAAAGGTAAAACAAGCTTAAATTAGCAGAAGTGGACAGAGCAAAATGTTAACCAATTAGGCTCAAAGAAGCAGAAATGAGCACAAAAAAAGCAAAAATTATCTGAAAAAAGCTGAAATTGACAAAAATAAAAAAATATATATATTTTTTTTAAATCTGTTGAAAAGTAGCCAAGAAAGCAGAAAGAAGCTGAAATTAAAAGAAGGAAGTAGAAAGAGCACATTTTTGCTGAATTAGGCTGAAAAAGGCTGAAATGAGTGCAAGTAATGTGGAATTAGCTGAAAAAGTTAAAATTAGCATAAAACAGCTAAATAGTAGTTGAAATGGTAAAAAAAAAAAAAAAAAAAAAAAAAAAAGCTGAAATTTGCAGATATAAGTTAAAAGAAGCACAAACATGTAGTTAGTTAAATAATCTGAAAGGATCACAAAACAGCCGAAAAAGCAGCTGAAATCAACTAAATTTGCACAAGGAAGCTGAAAGAAGCTGAAGCAGAACAAGATCTGAAGGATGTAAAATGAGCTCAATTAATTTTCTATAATGAAAAAAGTGGCAGGAAAGGCCAAATATTTCAAAAAGCTAAAGTTGCACCAATATCAAAAGTCTTAGCAGGATTATCCTTAAAGAGCTGAACGTTTTGATTTGATTTGTTGAAACAGCACAAAATTGTGGAATGAGAAAGATGCTGAAAAATATATGGAAGAAAAATGAATGACAATAGTGTGAATGCTTCCCAAGTGTTTATATAAAAAGATATTGTCAGAGTATGAAGCAGGAGCAGTTTGAGAGCTCCAGTTTTTCATACATCCTTGCAGCATAAAAACTGGTCACTATGACGATTCATTGTGTCTGAACTTAATTAAGAATGTCACACTGTGATCACACTCCACTACAGGCAGAACCTGAAGCTCTTTGAAGCATAAGATGATGAGTGTGACTTTTTTATACTAAAAATACCATTTCAACAACAAAAGCGCTGTGACTTCTCCTCCTTCCATCCATCCCACATTTTATATGAAACACCAAAATTATTTAGGTTTTCATGTTTTTTTTTTAACGAAACCTTTTAGATTGCCCGTCGCTGAACAATGACGGGAGATGATAATGTTTTTGTTTGTTGTGTGTCTGTTACAAAAAATATCACATGAACCGGTGGACAGATTTTTATGAAGCTTGCAGGAATTCAATGTTGGATGTAGATTTATAGCCAATTAAATTTTGGAGTCAAACTCATATAAGATGGCTGCCACTGCTAGCTGACCTAAAAAAAAAAAACTAATAATATTTAATTCACCTAAAAGTTGGTTTCCAATTATGACTATTACAATAAAATAAAGAAAATGAATTTTCTGCGAAAATGCAGTGTGCATGCTTATTGCAGAAAAACTTGCTGAAAAACTGCTGAAATGTAGCTGAAATGGAAGAGCAAGCCTAAGTTAGAAGAAGAAAGCATAAAAAACATATTGGCTGAATTAGGTTTCAATAAGCAGAAATGAACACAATAATTAGGAAAATAGCTAAAAAAAAAAAAAAAAGTTGAAAAGTCAGAAAGAGACTTAAAGTACCAGAAGGAAATTAAAAGATCTGAAATGAGCAAAAAAAAAAGTATATATACACATATATATGTGTGTGTGTTAAATTAGCTGAAAATGCTAAAATTAGCATAAAACAGCTAAATAGTAGCTGAAAAAGCAGAATAATCTGAAGCTAGCAGAGAAAATCTGAAAGGAGCAGAACAAGCTGAAATTAGCGTAAAGAAGTAAATTAGGCTGAAAGTAGCAGAAATTACCATGAAAAACTTGAATTCATCTGAATACAGCTAAAATTAGCTAAGGGTAGCTGAAAAGGTATAACTAGCTTAAATTAGCAGAAGAAAGCATAAAGAACACATGGTTGCCCAATTAGGCTGAAAGAAGCAGAAATGAACACAAAAAAGTGGAAATTATCTAAAAAAAAAAAAGCTGAAATTGGCAAAAAGCGGAAAAGTAGCTAAAGAGTCAGAAGAAAGAAGCTGAAAATACCAGGAGGACATGGACAGCACATTTGTGCTGACCTAGGTTGAAAATGGTTGAAAAGAGTGCTAAAAATATGGAATTATATGAAAAAGCTAAAGTATAAAACATCTAAATAGTAGCTGAAACAGTAAATAAAAAAGATGAAACTAGCAGAAATAATCTGAAAGGTGCATAAAAAGCGGAAATTGGCAGAAAGAATTAGAAGCACAAAAATATTATAGTTAGCAGAAAGAACCTTAAAGGAGCAAAAAAAGGGGAAAAAAAAAAAAGCTGAAATCAGCTGAAAGTAGCTGAAAAAAGTTTAAAATTGCACAAGGTAGCTGAAAGAAGCTGAAGCAGAAAAAAATGTGAAAGCAGCCGTAAAAGATTTAAAGAGTTGAAGGATGTAAAATGAGCTCAATTCATTTTCTATGAGAAAAAAAGTGGCAGAAAAGGCTAAATATTTCAAAAAGCTAAAGCTGCACCAATACCAAAAGTTATAGTAGGATTGTCCATTATGATTTAATGAAATAGAACAAAAATTGTGGAATGAGTAAGATGCCAAAATATGTATGGAAGAAAACGGATCATAATAGTGTGAATGCTTCATAAACTTTCACACTATTAATTCACCTAAAAGCTGGTTTGCAATTATGACTTTATAACTACAAATTACAACTGTTAAAGTAAAAAAAAAAAAAAAGGCAGAACATTAGGTTAAAAAGTAGCAAAAGGCTAGTTGTGAGCTGAAGTATCAAAAGACTAGCTAAATGCTAAATGTAACAGAACAGTAGCTCAAAGTTTAAAAGTAGCAAAAGGCTTGCTAAAAGCGTCATGGGTATCACCTGAAAATTTGGTCTGGTAGTAGCCGACACTGATCCCCAACACTTTTTCTGAGCATAAACAGATCGTTGTTTAAATTTTTGTCAATAAGTATTTGGAGTAAACACTGTTAGCAAATTATCTTACGAACCACTGGACAGATTTTAATTAATCTTTTAGAAAATTAACAACACATATACTTATAACTGATCAACTTTTGGAGTCAGTCATATTCAAGATGGCCACCACAGCTAAAGGAGTGCAGAAAACACAAAAATGGCTTTACGTCAGTTTAAAATTTCATGTGATAGTAGCCGACAGTCGTTCCCATAGTGAGCGTGAAATCTTGCAATATTGCTGGAGTTTGCGCATAACCTCGTCACTTCTCTTCATAAAACAACTAAAGGCTAAAACTTGGGCACGACAGGCTTCACAAAATGCTTCCCCTTTAACACCCCCACCCCAACAGTCTACTGAGGACAGAAGCGTTACCTTGTGGAGGATGAGTGGGCACTCCAAGCCACATTTGCACGTTCCATCCGTCAGCAGGTAAGTTTTCACCTGCTCCAAGCTGGACAGCACCGAGCCGCTGGGACTGCACACAGAAAACAAGGTGAGGAAGACGTTCCACGGCATCAACCCAGGTTCTGTGCCGTCTGATGCATACACCTTTTCAAAATAAAAGTTGGGTTTGTTTGTGGTCTGTAGCGGAAACGCCAAAGACGCATCAATTGCTGGAAAAAATGTCCCACAATCGTTATGAATTCAAACAAGAATTAGGATATATTTTTATGACTAATCCGAAAACGAGTACCGTAATTTCCAGAGTATTGAGCGCAACTGAATATAAGCCACGCCCACCAACTTAAAAAAAATAATAACTTGAACCTTTATAGGCTGCACTTTATAAGTTGGGGGTGTCCACATTGTAGCATGAGATATTTACACAAAGATTTTTTAAAACTTTTAATTCAATATGCATCAGTAACATACACAAATACATACAGTAAATGTTTTTTTTCTGAACAGCGCCTGTAACACAGCTGGTTAAAAACAACAACAACAGTAGTCTACCAGGAAGTCATACAGCTTGTGTGGTTCTCACTTATTTCGAGTGGCAAATACTTCGTTGTGCCCCCAGGGGAGGGGGGAGCTTTATTTCCCCAACCCTGGGGGCACAACGGGGAGGGTGGAAGCAAAGTTTTGCCCCATCTTGGTTTACTCCAATGAAACAAAGTTTCACTGGTCCATTGTGACTTGTTTGATAATTTCATTGGTCAGAATTTATTTTAAACCTTTATTTATACAGGTAGTCCCAGGCAACTAAGCTAACCTATTACTGGTAATTTAAGTTACAGAATTTTATGCACTCCTGTATTTGTTCCTAGTTTTGATATAAATATAAAATAATGCAAAAAGATTTGATACAGTAAAGAACCTAAAATTATTGTTTTATGTTCTATTTGTTTACATTGTTGTTTAATCTTTTCATCTTATCAATTACATCAATTAGACAACATTTATGACCATTTCAATAGAAGAATCGTTTCTGATTCAAAAATCTATTTTGAATCGAATCGTGATACCAAAAATCGAATCGAATCGCCAGACAGAGAGAATCGCACCCCTAGCCGCAGGGTTGTGGCTTATAGTCTGGAGATTACGGCACTTAAAGTACACCAGCAGCTGCTCGACACTGAGCTAAATTTGCTACTTTTTCTTACCCAGTACTTAACATTTTGACTGAAACTGCAGTAGGCCTAAAAGGAAATTACTGACACGTTGAAGCAAAGCTGAGAATTAAGGTGCTCCCTGTCCAATAAGATGGAAAAACATGAAAAGTACGGTTGTTAAGCCACTCCATGTGCCACCAGGAAATGAAAAACAGTGTTTTCTTCATACATACCTATATAAAATGGCACTCTGATAAAACACCAAACGGCAGAATCACACTGCGGTGATTTTTGAAAATCTACTCTGAGGACCCTCTGCTGCTCATCACAGTTGCACGCAATTTAAATGTAAAACAATAAAAATATAAAGTGTCCTGTAATACTGTCGGGCAACAGTCACAGAGGACAGGCAGGATTCTTTGTAACAACCAAAAATAAATCCATTGCCAGCAGCTTTAGCTCATTTTGGCTGATAAAAGCACACAAATTCAAATTATTAATCATCTGTGTGGACTGGCTGAATGACTGGCTTCTTAGGTGCTTGCATTTTAAAAACGTATGGGCTGAACTTATTCTGTTTCAGTGTGGCAGCAAATTTCAAGCATGAAATACAGTGAGGAAAAAAAGTTTTTGAACACGCTGCGACTTTGCAAGTTCTCCCGCTTAGAAATCATGGAGGGGTCTGAAATTTTCATCTTAAGTGCATGTCTACTATGAGAGACATAATCTAAAATATATATATAAAATCCAGAAATCATAATGTATGATTTTTTAAATAATTTATTTGTGTGTTACTGCTGCAAATAAGTATTTGAACACCTGCCAATCAGCAACAATTCTGGCCCTCAAAGACCTGTTAGTCCTCCTCTAAAAAGTCCACCTCCACTTATTATTCTAAATTAGAAGCACCTGTTTGAGGTCGGTAGCTGCATAAAGACACCTGTCCACCACACACAGTCAGTAAGACTCCAACTACTAACATGGCTAAGACCAAAGAGCTGTCCAAAGACACCAGAGACAACATTGTAGACCTCCACAAGGCTGGAAAGGGCTACGGGGTAATTTCCAAGCAGCTTGGTGAAAAAAGATCAACTGTTGGAGCAATTATTAGAAAATGGAGGAAGATAAACACGACTGTCGATCTCCCTCGGACTGGGGCTCCATGCAAGATCTCACCTCATGGCGTATCAGTGATCCTAAGAAAGATGAGGAACCAGCCCAGAACTACACGGGAGGAGCTGGTCAATGACCTGAAGAGAGCTGGCACCACTGTTTCCAAGGTTACTGTGGGTAATACACTAAGCCGTCATGGTTTAAAATCATGCATGGCACGGAAGTTTCCCCTGCTTAAATCAGCACACGTCCAGGCCCGTCTTAAGTTTGACCAAGACCATTTGGATGATCCAGAGGAGTCATGGGAGAAAGTTATGTGGTCAGATGAGACCAAAATAGTACTTTTTGGTCTTAATTCCACTCGCCGTGTTTGGAGGACGAAGACTCATGAGTACCATCCCAAAAACACCATCCCTACTGTGAAGCATGGGGGTGGAAGCATCATGCTTTTGGGGTGTTTTTCTGCACATGGGACAGGACGACTGCGCTGTATTAAGGAGAGGATGACCGGGGCCATGTAGTGAGAGATTTTGGGGAACAACCTCCTTCCCTCAGTTAGAGCATTGAAGATGGGTCGAGGCTGGTTCTTCCAACATGACAATGACCCGAAGCACACAGCCAGGAGAACCAAGGAGTGGCTCCGTAAGAAGCATCAAGGTTCTGGAGTGGCCTAGCCAGTCTCCAGACCTAAACCCTAAAGAAAATCTTTGGAGGGAGCTCAAACTCCGTGTTTGTCAGCAACAGCCCAGAAACCTGGCTGATCTAGAGAAGGTCTGTGTGGAGGAATGGGCCAAAATCTCTGCTGCAGTAAACCTGGTGAAAAACTACAGGAAACCTTTGACCTCTGTAACTGCAAACAACGGCTACTGCACCAAATATTAACATTGATTTTCACAGATGTTCAAATACTTAATTGCAGCAGTAACACAAAAAATAAATTATTAAAAACTCATACATTGTGATTTCCAGATTTTTTTTTTTATTTTTTAGATTATGTCTCCCACAGTGGACTTGCACCTAAGATGAAAATTTCAGACCCCTCCATGAGTTCTAAGTGGGAGAACTTGCAAAGTCGCAGGGTGTTCAGATACTTCTTTTCCTGACTGTACGTTTGAGAAGTTTCCGCAGCTCGTAGATGTCAAACACACCGCAGCTTCGCTCAGCAGCATCACAAAGTCTCCGTGTTTCTGTTCGTCTCCTGCAGAGCCGATCAATTAGAGGAACTCCGCTGACCGTGTGTGGACAGTAAACAAACCTGTTGAGTGCACTTTGATTTAAACCACTCACACTGGAGCCTGATGTTTACATCCGTCTCATTCATCAGAGCGCCTCGCAGCTGGTTTATAACAGAAAATGTTTGACGCTAGGGATGCACAATACTATCGGCATGGTATCGGTCGACACTAGCGATAAAGTTAAATATCGGACATTCCATCACAATAACTCGCCAATATAAAAGGCTTCTGTTTTGAGTTAATTTAAGAAATATCAAGTATTAATGAATTACTTCTTATGCGCTTTTCACTTGTGCACAGGTTGAGTTTAGATTTGTAAAAATGTGCACTGTTCAAGTGTTGTCATTGTGTTCGAGAGTAAATGTCATGAATAAATTTGACATTAAACATAATCCAAGTTGAAGTGTTGCATCATTTTCAGCCCCTTTTTGTCATCTGCATTTGGTAGCAGGTCACACTGACAAAGACCACGCAGAATAATGTAGTGTTTTAATTCCACAGCAGAGAAAGCGATGTAGTCTCTGTAAGTAGGTCTAGGGCAGGGGTCTGCAACCTGTGGCTCTGGGGTCACATGTGGCTCTTTGGTTCCTCTGCAGCATCTCTTTCAGACTTTGACCAAAACCAAAATAAAACTGAATTTGATTTAAATGATTGCCAACAATGAAAATGGCTAGTTTAAGCAGATTTCTTGTCATTTTCAAATATGTGAAGGACAGTACGAATACAAGGCGTAAAACGTGGACTACATCATGCTAGTAGTTTGTTAGCCGCTTTAAGTTAACTTCCAGTCTCTCAGCGTGACCTCTCTCTCAAAACCACCAGAATGTTTTGGACTTTGTTGTAGCTTTAAGACAAGTTGCTGAGAAGGAATACGGTGAGCAACTTTGGTAGCACTAAGAAGAAAACAAAAAGCAAAGTCAAAGTAAACCAAAGTATTTAACTTTCCTTAAAAATGTAATTGGATATCCAACTTACTGGCCTAATTTTATATTGTCTTCAACTTTATGTTTTAAGTAGGAAACCAAAGTTCATGCTCAATAATCCAGGTAAAAATCCAGCACTGTTCAGTCAGGTCATCAGGACGGTTTCTTTTGCGGAGACGTTTCGTCCTTCATCCAAAGGTCTTCTTCGTTCTGAGGAGCCAACAAACAAACTGATTCCCACAAGCAGCATACGCTATATTGGAAAAAAAAAAAAAACAGTTCGCTGGTGCTAAGATGTCCTCCGGGGCCCACCCTCTCCCCCGTCAACTCCTGGCTGGCTCCTCAGATTGAAGAAGGCCTTTTTGGATGAAGGACGGAACCTCTCAGCAGAAAATAAACTGTTTAAGTAGGATACTTAATTCTTCAACAATTAAGAGAACCCACAAGGGTCTGCAGAGTTCAGCGTTTCAATTTTTATAAAAATTGTTAAAAATCTTTTTTCCTCTCTTCACATGAATCTGTTTTTGTTTGTGTTTTTTGTATTAGATACTGAACTTTACTAATTGGCTTTTATGTATGTGAATGTTCCTGTAAAGTGACCTGAGACAACTTTGTTGTGATTTGGCGCTAGATAAATAAACTGAATTGAATTGAATATTAAAATGTAAACATTTAATAAACGTTAATAATAGACATTTTTCGTTTTATAATATCACCCCCACTGGCCGGAAAAGCCATCTCCCAACAAACTTGTAGTGGTCCACGGACCACCAGTCGACAGTACACAGTTGGAGCAGGTTTTGCAGCTCCAGACATCGTAATTAGTAAGTAAAGTGGCAAAAATGCTCTTTTTATTGCAAAGACTGCAGACCCCTGGTCTAGGGGGAAAATATCGGTATTGGTATCGGTTATAGGCCAAACAAGTTTTAACATATTGGCATATCGAATATCGGCCAAAACTCCAATATCGTGCATCCCTATTTTACACTACTGTACCAAAATTCTGACAAAAGTTGATTTTTGTCATTTTGCTGGCTACAGTCTAAGAATGCCTGAAAAAGTTAACCTGAACTTGCAGCGATTCATTTACTTGCTACAGCTGAAAACAGTCGGGAGAGGGGGGGTGGCTTTGTTTTGTAATTATTCACTGATTAATGGTTATTCAAATAAACTGCATGATGTGGGTCACGTTATTGTTTAACACAGTATTTGTTGTCGAGATTGACTCACGTTGGATCTGATGAGTGCAGAAAATAAAAACGATGCCTGATGTCTGACCAAAGGTCTGTTAGTTTGTGAGACTATCGCAGTCACAGCTTTGTGAGATGCTACTTTAAAATGTTTCCTGGAATCAGAAAGAGTAACCGATATATTTTAACAGATTCACAAACATCAACAATGTGTTGGGATTGATGGAGAAGTCACGTGCAGAGTCAGTTTTGGTCGTGAATCTAATGCATTTGTTTATTACCGGTACATCTTAGCTAGATTAGACCCATGTATTTATTTGATGAAAAGTCTGCAAGCAGGTTTGATACTTCAAATTAGACAAAAGGCAAAAAAAAGGGTAGTATAGTTTGTGTAACATTTGGTGCACTTTCTGTTTATCAGCATTAATTTTTTTTATTACAAGTAGTTACCTTCACTTTGCCTATAGTTCTGGAAGAGAACTGCAGCAGACAGTAAAAACAGCAACAAACTCATGGAAAGTGTGCTTCAACCTGATCTGGATCAACCAATAATCCACAAAGATAAGTTAACTTACCTTATTATTTTTAATATAACAAATTAATTTGTTGTTCACTGCTAAATTACTGAGTAGTGGGGGTGGGGGGAGTTGCACCAGGACTCGTGTGTTTGTGTATTGTTTAAACTGGGCGTCAGGTTTTATAAGTGTTTTGTTTTAAAATAAGAATAATTTGTGAGCAGATATTGTTAATAAAGTGGTAAAACAAATTGCCTACCAGTTTTTTCTGTTTTATGTTGTAGTGTATCGAAACTCTGTGTTTAATTAAACTCACTGAGTATCGTATATCAAAACTCATTGAGTATAGAGCTGTCATTTCTAACCTGAACCATGCCCGACCCGGATTAGGGCTGGGCCATAATAATGTACTTAATGTGTGGGCCGAGTCGGTGTCGGGCATTTGATTGAGTCAGCGGACGCGTGCAGCTGACGATCCAATTATATGGCAACATGGCTTGCCATACAATCATGGCCATTTGACGGTGAGCTGACCGGCCTTGAAAGAAGTAAAAAAATGAAAATCCAGTTACGTTTTAGATGGGACAGAAATAAGCAACCAGCACGAACAAAGACAACTGATATGAAATAGACGTTCATTCAGCTGATGCACTCAGAGGATGCACGCGGCTGACAGCCGAAGCAGGTGAGATCCCAAAATATCCGACATGTCAGAGCAGGGTCCGTGTCTGAATAATGCAGAATGCAGGCAGAAGAAGGGATTTAATGTGCTTTGATGGCAATGAAAGGACAAACACCCCCTCAGCTCCGATCTTCTGCCCCCTTAGCCGCGCGTCCGCTGACCGTTAATAACTATATACGCAGTCAAAACTTAATTAAAAATGTCGGGGTGGGGGGGTCATGTTCGGACCTGTAATTACTGTTAATTCATCGGGTGGGGTTCGGAAATTATGGCTACGAGCTGGGGCCAGATTTTTTTGGCCCGAATGAAACGCTAATTGAGTATCTTGTATCATACCTCAATGAGTACTGTGCATTGTTCCTCATTGGATAAGGATGGATAAGATTAGGAATGAGATCATCAGAGGTACAACACAGGTTGAACAACTGGGAGATAAAGTTAGAGAGGCCAGACTCAGATGGTTTGGACATGTCCAGAGGGACAGTGGGTATACTGGTAGAAGAATGTTAGAAATGCAGCTGCCAGGAAAAAGACAAAGAGGAGATATATGGATGCAGTTAGAGAGGACATGGAGGTAGTTGGAGTGAGGACAGAGGACAAAGTGAGATGGAGGAGGATGACTCGATGTGGAGACCCCTTATGAGGGAAAAGCCAGAAGAAGAAAGATTTGTGTATCGTGTTGTATCAGGTTTTGCTGCTTATGAACCTTTAATGAATCAGAACATTGGATTATTGTACGAATGCACAACTTAGTTGTTCCAGATCTTTCAGGAAACAAACTTTTAATTTATTCTAAGCCTTTTCAAAAACAGATGAGTGAATGACGAGCTAACAACCAACGGTTTAGGAGTTTGGATGTTCCAATCAACGTCTGTCCAACATGTTTTTAAATGTTCTACCTCTTACACATTTTATCAGCTCTTCTGATTTAGTGACATTTTCATACCTCACATACAGGACACCTCCACCTTGCTCCGCCTTGCGCTGCCAGCCAATGGGGACCTGGACAGGGATGGCCTGCCTCTCATCTCCCGCCTCACAGTCTTTTCCGCCATTCATTGCTCCACTGGTTTAACACTCGACACCTCAGAGGTATATATATATCAGACATGAACCAGTGTCTTCGCAATGTGCATCATGTTCTGCCTTCTGAAGCCGTGGTGAGGGTGTTGGTGGGGGAGAAGGGTGTTCAATGTGGGACTCCGCTCTCAGGTGGAGCTGATGGAGTGGTGGGAGGGTAGGGTGAGGCAAGCTCACAGCAGACCCTACCCTTTGAGCAGCTTCATGGCTACAGTACTGATAGGAGTGTGTACTTCCATTACTGAATCGTGTCATTCGGAGCCATCCAGTTGGCTAAAAGGGAAAAGGGGGGGGGGGGGGGGGGGGGAGCCGAGGGGGGTGGTGTTGCTGCTGCAGGAGACGAGCTT